AGATTATTCCATGCATGCATTTACTTAACAGAAAGACTAGAATCATTCAAGTTTTGAGGAACCCACAAAGGGATGACGGCCGAGTCTCATCAATGTACATTGTTAACTATAGGCAGGATGCAAAACAGCCCATAATGACAGAGGGCATTTGGTGTACCAGTTAAGACACCTTCAGACATCCACATCTCACATCAGAGTTCCTGGATTTGAATCTGAGCTCTGCTGCCATTGCCACCTTCCTGCTTATGTGGCACTCTGTGAGGCAGCAGTTAATGGCTCCAGTACTTGGTCTCTGCCACCATGTGGAAAATTTAAAGGGAGTTCCCTGCTCCCAACTTTAGCCCAGCCCAGCCCTGCTGTTGCAGGTGTTTAGAAAAGTAAACCAACAGAAGGTCTCTCTCTCTTTCTCTCTCTGCCTCTCAAGTAAGTAAATAAATGTTTTTTTAAACCTTCTAAGTTATTTTTAAGAGAAAATATAGTGTGTTTTCTATAGTCACCCCACCATGCAATAGAAGCACAGAACTTCTTGTATCTGTCAAACTATAACTTACTACCCATTAGTCAACCTCTTCCTCTTCCCTTCTTCCCATCTCACCCCTGCCTCTGTTAATCACCCTTATACTTTTAACTTCTATGAGATCACCTTTTTTTATTAGACCCCACAAGTGGATAGATACTAAGTTGTTTCTAATTTTTGACTGTTGTTAATACTGCTGCAATAAACATGGGAATGCAGATGTCTCTTCAATAGAGTGATTCTGTTCCCCTTGGGCCAGTAATGGGTTAGCTGGGTTACACAATGACCTATTTTTAGTTTTTTGAGGAATTTTATGCCTCAAATTTTAAGCCTCCTAAAATATTCTTTAGAATTAACATATTACTTTTTCTTGTATCTTATGATGTATAGATTTGAGCCAGTTAAATTTTAAGAAAACCACAAGAACTAATAATTATACTTCCAAATAGCCATCAAAATCAGTATAATTGTATTCAAATAATATCTAATAATATCTAATTTCACATACATTGAAGATAAAAATATTGCCATTAAACAATAGAAAAATCTCATGTAATGTTAGTCTAATTCTGTATAAAAACCATAGTGCCTTTTAAAATTGTCTTTATTTTTCAAGCTAATTACAGAAAAACATTAGGTACACAGATGTTCCCCTGGCAACCAATAGCTCTGAGGAGTAGTAAAAGATATTATAACTAAAAGAATAAGAACAAATAAAGGGAAAATGCATTATTATTTTTTATTTAGGAAAAAATTAAAAGCTTCTGAATTATTAATACTACTGTTAATATAGGAAAAAACAATTTTAGTGTGATTTTTGATAAGAATTATTGAAGTTTATATTATGCAATGGTTTATTTAATTCAGATGAAATAATATTTAATTATACGATTTGCCAGCCCTCATTTTTAGGATGACTATGAACTGAAAGTAATATTTTTTGAAAATTTCTATTTATATAAAAGGAACAAATGTCAGGTATTTCATATATATACTTTTAAGGACATAATGATACTTCCCACCCTACCTTCCTTTTCTCCCTCGCTCCTACCTCCCTCCTTCCTTTCTTATTTTTCTCTTAATTTTTGCAGTGACATGCCTTCAGTTTACTTTATAATCACAAGCTTAACCCGCCACTAAATAAAGAATTCAACAAGTAGTAACTAGGAAAACCACTATTCCTCAGGAGTATAGACAAAGGCTGTAAATAATCAAATCTCAAAATATTGTATGGTAAAATTTACTGTTCAAATGTTAGTAGGTTCAAATTTTATTTCTATTAGCAAATAAAAACATTTGAAATTTGTGTACTTCAGATGTATGTTTACATTCAAAATAACATTTGGGGAAGCACAAAATGTTTGGATGAGGGTACTTCAAAAATTTCATGAAAAATGGAATTTAAAGGTAAGCTTATTTTGTTGCAAAATATTTTGAAATCTATTTGTACACAGGATCTTCAAAAATTCATGGAGAATGTGCATCATAAATAAACTGTATGTGGTCTCCAATTTTTTGCACCACAATAAACTTATCTTTTTTATATTCCAACCTTGTATTTTCTTTTTAAGATTTATTTATTTATTTCAAAAGCAGGTTTATAGAGGGAGACAGAGTAAAAGAGTTCTTGTATCCACTGGTTCACTTCCAAAATGGCCACAACGGCCAGGGCTGGACCAAGTCAAAGGCAGGAACCAGGAGCTTCATTCCATTCTCCCACATGGGTACAAGGTCCCAGTTTGGGCCATCTTCCGCTGCTTTCCCAGGCATGTTAGCAAGGGAGCTGCAATGGAATGAAGCTGCCAAAGCACGTACTGCCGCTCTTACGGGATGCTAGCATCACAAGTGGTGACTTAACCTGCTGTACCACAATACCAGCCCCTACACTTATTTTTTTAATCCCATCTTTTAATGAACTTTTTGAAATACTTTTCATAAATGAAGAAGAGGCACATTTCCCATGGAAGAGAATATCAAGTAATATATGTGGATATTCTACCCTCAAGGAAATGGAACATAATTCCCATTGCTAGGTGCTAGCTACGTATTGTGACTTTTGTTCAAAGAGTGAAGAAACCTGACAAACACTAAATCAAGGTCAGCATTGATAATGAAAAGTCTTATTGATAATATGTATCTTTGGTATAATGTGAGGAATATAGCACCTTGCTCCTGTGGTCTTTCAAAAACCCTAACTCCAGTCTATTTATGAGAAAAACATCTGACAAATGCCAACGGAGGAGTACTCTACAAAATACTTGAGCATTGCTGCTCAAAGCTGTCAAGATCATTCAGACAAGGCAAGTCTGAGAAGCCATCAGAGCCAGGAGGGCTTAAATGTAATGTGGTATCTTGGAGGCATTCTAGAACTGGAAAAGAGTATCAAGTTAAAACTAAGGATATCTGATTAAAATGTGAACTTTAATTAATGTCTTTTAATATTTTTTTGAATTTTTAACTGACATCTTAAAATATTACTTATTCATAGGTTATAGTTGACAAATTTTGATGCACATATAAAATATCCAGATCAGCATAATTGGCATCTCTGTCACCTAAAACATTTATTACTTCTTTGTGTTAAGACCATTCTAAGTTACCACTACTTGCTGTTTTGTAATGTGCAAATAATCTTTGTCAACAATAGCTTTCCCATTGTGCTATAGAACATTAGAAATTGTACTTCCTTTAAATCTCAAACTATGTGTGTTATCAGATACAGTGAACTTAATAGAATGATGATAGAGGCCATGAGGAAATGCTTCAAATTACAGATCTCAACCAAACCTAGTGGAACACAATTCTCCAAAAGGTCATCAACTGAGAAACAAAATCAACAACCCTCAGTGTGATTCTTTCTTGTTTGGCACAAAAGAAGAACACAAAAAATAAAAGACCCAAAGAATCACAATGAAAAACTATTTGTAGAAAGCAAAATTGCAAAGATTATAAGTTCTGATTTTTCTGGCAATGGCTGATTCTCAGGATGGTAGAGGTAAAGGACTAAAGGTTGTAAATCACACACAGACACACACACATGCAAGTTTGTGAGACACAGATTTTTGCTGCCTTAAAGCACAAGCATGAATCCAGTCCAACTTGTTCTTTGAACACTTGGTCTAGGAGATACTCATTTAATTCAAAGATGGATGAAATTTTAAAAGGATTAGGAAGTAGATAATCTGCATGGGTTCTATACTAAGGGAGAGATCTTTTCTTGAAGGTTACTCAAGAAGTTAGATTAAACAAAGCCATGCTTTCACTGTTACCCTTTTCTGCTAATTCAAAAAAATTTGAGCTCAGTAAGGAAAAGAATATAGGTGTCAGCACTGTGGCATAGCAGGTAAAGCTGCCACCTGCAGTGCTGGCATCCCATATGGGCAACTGTTCAAGTCCCAGCAGCTCTACTTCTGATCCAGCTCTCTGCGATGGCCTGGGAAAGCAGTAGAAGATGGCCCAAGTCCTTGGGCCCCTGCACCCATGTGGGAGACCTGGAGGAAGCTCCTGGCTCCTGGCTTCAGATCAGCTCAGCTCCAGCAGTTGCGGCAATCTGGGGAGCGAACCAGTGGATGGAAGACCTGTGTGTGTGTGTGTGTGTGTGCTTCTGCCTCTGCCTCTGCCTCTGCCTCTCTCTAACTCTGACTTTCAAATAAATAATAAATCTTTAAAAAAAGAAAAAGAATAGAGGCTTTTAAAAAGATTCTTGGCTCTTTATCCAGTCTTTCATTTGTTTTTACCACATGTATTTTGACAGCAATTTCTTCTGTTGAATTTCCTTTATTAAGCCTTTCACAAAGGCATTCAACTTCAGAAACATCTTTTCCTTTTGTATTCGTATTTCATTGGTTATTTTACAATAACATAATTGTCATTAAGAAGTCCAGAAATAGGCAAAATTGATTCAGTAATCAAAGTTCAGCTGGGAGGCACGGAAACATGTAAGTGAACTAGAATGTAATTTGCTAAGTACAAGAATTCAGTATACTGTGGGTAAATGTTTTAGGGAAAAAAATAGATGATAGTGATTATAGATGGCTTTGTTAGCTGAATGTTAAGAGAAATTATGTTGAGTATGAAGCAACACCATTACTGTGTTCCTGTTGCCTTGGAATTTTTCTCTAGGATATATAGTTTTAGATGCAGTATTTACATATTATTTTTATTCAAAAAAGTGTTTAGTGAACTCCTATATTCATCAAGCATGGAAATAAGTGATAATAAATATTTCATCACTATTTACTGACATTAAACAATATTAATGTGGTGTTACTAATAATTTTATTTATGCATGCCTAATAACCTATAACAATGGAGAAGATTTAAATGAAATTATTGTTTTATAGATTTGCTTTGTGAATGCCCTTAGAAAGAACTTTTCAGACACCTAATGTTGTGTTAGATTGATGCCATGTTTATTTTTCATGGGAGATGTTTGATAAGGAAAAATACTATCAAGTTCATTATTGTTGTTTTTATCTTGAAGCTACCAGAAAAACTTATAATGGAATACTACGAGAAGTATAAGCCTAGAATGAATGAACTGGAAGCTTTTAATATGGTAAATCTCAAAATTAAACATATTAAATTGGATACATTGCTAGACTTCAATAGGGTCTTATTAAATTTTATTATGGAGCCAGCCAATCTGTATTGTTTTTTTTTTTTTCTTTCTGTAGAAAGACTGTTTTGGATCAGTTCCTATTTCAGAGCTGTATTAGGTGTCAGTAATGTAATAAAGACAACACATGGTGCATTTCTCTTAGAGTGTGTTATAAATGCATGGAATGAAGTTTCAGAATCCTTTGAACACGTATTGGTCTCAATGGCAGTTATTTCACAAGCATTCCTTTTAATGAATTTCATTCCTAGTCCCCTTTTAAAAAACTTTCTACCACATATGATTGCTTGTTGGATTCTACTCCAAAGTCACTTAGAGGCCATTCTTTTCCTGTCACTATTAAAAACTATCTCTTCAGTGTTCTTTTTCTGAAGATGCACAGTGGGTATTAGAAATCTGATCTATAAAAACTTATGTGGATATATTTTCCTAAACATGAGTGTTAAAGAAATAAGCTGGTCTCTTTTTTCTTTTTCTTTCTCTTTTTTTTTGTTTGTTTGTTTGTTTTTAAGTAGCACCACTCTATATTATTCTTCTTTTAGTTGAAAGTTGTTCTGGCTCCTTGTATAGAGACACTGATTCTTCTGGATCGACTTTGCTACCTTAAAGAGCAGGTAAAAAAATTTTTAATGCATAACAAATATCTTTACTTAATACAGTGATCTGAACTTACTTGCTTAAAATAAGGTTATTTTACATAAACTAGTAAGATAATTTTTCTCATGTTTTCATAGTTTAAATATTCATTTTACCTCTTTTAAACATGTAAGCATGTGTATGACAGATGTTTTCAGCAAAGTTGCTATAATAAAGTACACATTCTTTTTAATTGTGTGGCAATTGCCATACATAGGCAGTGAACACATGCTACCATATATGACATATTATATAGCAAAAATTAATACCATGCATAAAAGATATTGTGTACATATTACATTTTGTGAGAGTTTCCTTTTTAATTCACTTATGAACTTTTGGATATAATCATTAGCAGTAGAAAAACTTGATTCTGATCAATGAATATTGCTTCTGTTTTAAACATTCTTATTTATCTGAGTGACAAAAACACTGCTTTTTGGTTATATTTAGTGAAAATATTCTTTGCAGATGAGATGTTCAAATCAAACCCATTTGTGGACTCAGCCTAATATTTCAAGTATAAATCCTTTATTTTAATTGTTTTACCATATTGGGAGTTCTGCCTTCTTCTCCTCAATAGTCTGCTAGGGACAAATGGATTTGAATAAATATTGCTTTGTCCTAATTTATATTTTTATGGAGAAAGGCAATTTTTAAATATTGAAATAAACACTTTCTTAAGTGGACTGCTAACTCCAAATAACCTTGATTCCCAAGTTGGTAGATGACAGAATTAATACCTATTTCACAACTTTATTTTTCCTTTTTTATTTTAATTTTCATTTTATTTGAAAGCAGAGAGAGAGAGGGAAAACAGAGAGACAGAGAGACAAAGATCTTCAATGTGCTGATTAACTCCCCAAATACCTAAAATGTCTGGGGCTGGGCCTAGCTGACCAGGAGCTAGAAATTCAATCCAGGTCTCTCAAGTGGGTGACAGGGACTCAACTACTTGAGCTACCATGGCTGCCTGCAGGATGCACATTAGCAGGAAGCTGGAATCAGGAGTGAAGCCAAGACTCAAACCCAAACATTCTAGTATGGAATTATGGGTACCCCAAGCAGCATCTTAAATGCTGAACCAAATGCCTGCCCTTCATTTTCCTATTCAAAACAATTTGTATTAATCTAAGTACAGTATTTAGGCAAACAGTATTCACAAAGAGTGCTATGTTGTAATGAAACAATAGAATCATATGAGTATTAATTTTAATATTTTAAACATTATAAAGGTAATACATATTTATATTACAATTTGTTAAATACATAGAATATAAGACAGAAAATTGAAAGTAATCAAGATACCATCTTTTGAAATAGCCTGTTAAATTTTTGTTGTATTTCCTAGTGATTCTCTCAAATATATGTGTACACATTATTTGTACCTTCATTAAAATTAAAATCAAATTATAAATGCATTTTTGCATCAAATTTGTTTCCTTTATTTGAAATGTTCTTGGGTTATTGGCAATATCCAATTTTTCATGATCACAGCAAATAAACCTTGTAATTCACTTTCCATGTACATCTCTAATAATTCCTTCAACATAAACTCTTGAAGATAAAATTGTAAATATTAATGTTATTTTGCAAAGAGTAGTTTTACATAATTTTTATGTGGTCATAATTATAGTTTATGGCTTGACTTATTTTTCCTTGTGTTCTTCTTCTAATCGTTGTATATCTAAAACACCTGTCAATTTGCAGGAAGATATTGCATGGTCTGCACTCGTGAAGTTGTTTGATCCTGTGAAATCTCCCAGATGTTATGCTGTTATTGCTCTGAAGAAGCAGCAGTGATTTCAGTTGAAGCAAATTATTCGATGTATCTGTTGAAACTGTTGCTAAGATTGCATTTCTAAACACGAATGTCCTATGGTGTAAATATTTTTAAATCACTGCTATATATTTTAAATAAACAATGAAATAATGGCTAACAGAAAGTCATATTCCACTTTTTTCATTGCACAAGCATACACTAATAAAATAAGCACCCGTGAAAATATTATGAAAAGGTCGACCTGCATTCCTGAGTTGGTATGTCAATAGGACATTGTAATCTGAGTTGTAATTCTTGTTCAATATTTGAGATTCTTGATATTTGCTACATATAACATTTTCACTTTTAATGAATAAAAGCAGATGAAAGGTACGAGTGTAGATAGAGTTGTAAATTAGTTGTATTTGAAGATTATTTGCATTTTCATTTGGAAGAGTTGTCCACATTACCAAAAGGGAAAAATCTACTTCTAAAGGGAAGAACAACCCAGGAACCAAGCCAGCTATACAAATTGCCTAATATAAAGCACATTTTGCGCTGTTCTTTAAGTTACTTCTGGCAATATTCTATACTGTTAAAGAAGTGAACATCTTGTAAGTGAGCTATTCACTCTAAGGATTCGTGGGACTATTTGTCTTACTGAAACAAGGTGACGGGTTGGCACTTCATGGAATTACCTTATGTTCTCTAAAGCAATCCTGAATAAAGAGTGGACAGAATGAAGCCAGCATCCTGCTCAGAACGGAGCAAGTTCCTTTCATTAGCAGAAAGCTTGTGGTTTCTAATGCACAAAGAAGAAATGGACAGCTAGGATCAAGTGTCCTTCATGCCGAGCCAAAGAGATTATAAAGTTCTTCAAAGCAGAAAAAGTAACTTTCTTAAATTTTGCAGTCTCCGCATAGATGAGGAGAGTAATTGTTTTGCTGTAGGTTATAGTATTGATACTGAGTTAGCAGGCAGGATGTGTATAAATGAGCAGGTAGTTTGTACAGCAGTAAAATATTAGATAAGATTTCAAAACTATCCAAATATGCAAATCAGAATATAAGAACTCATATGTAGTCATTCACAAACTTAAACAGTAATCAGTATTTTACCAATCTTGAGTCCTGTGTACAAACTTGAAGGTACATAATGCCTACACTCCACCCACACCCATCTCCCCTGGACACTTTTACACAAGCCCCAAGCAGTCTGTTATTTCTCATAAATGCTTCACTATATATGAGTGGATTGCTAAAAAGTAATGAAAAGCTTATACTATCTCTTAATTCACATTATCCTTTTTTTTTAAGATTTATTTATTTTACTTGAAAGTCACAGTTACACAGAGGAGAGGCAGAGAGAGAGAGAGAGAGAGAGAGAGAGGTCTTCAATCCGCTGGCTCACTCCCCAGATGGCCGCAACAGCCGGAGCTGCGCCAATCCGAAGCCAGGAGCCAGAAGCCTCCTCCGAGTCTCCCACATGGGTGCAGAGGCCCAAGGACCTGGGCCATCCTCTACTGCCCTCCCAGGCCACAGCGGAGAGCTGAATTGGAAGTGGAGCAGCGGCATCTCAAACCAGCGCCCATATGGGATGCCGGCACCGCAGGCAGCGGCTTTACCCGCTACACCACAGCACCGGCCCCCACGTTATCTTTTAATTGCTGCCCATAGAACATTGGTGGTTGTCCTCATTCCCATATCTGCAGTTTGTTCTGTTAGTTTGTTCAATTCAGAATCCAAACCAGAGTTACGTATTTACACTTGATATGACTCTGGTTATTTTCAAAATAGCAGCCTCCATTTTTAAAAATCTCATGCCTTTTTTATCTTTCTAAAAATAAAATCAGGTCAGGTCATTTATTCTATAGACTATTCCACTTTGAGATTTATCTAATTATGCCTTTGTAGAACTCCTTAATGCATTCACCCATCCCAAATATTTCCTGTAAACGTTTAGATCTAGAATCTTGATTAGATGAGGATATTGTGTGTGTGTGTTCTATACCTTCTGTTGTATCACATCAGGAGGTGTACCATGAGTGCTGTCCCACAACTAGTGGTACTGAGATTGATCAGCGACTTCATTTGGTTTGAGCCTGACTTACCAAGTATAAAATTTCCATCAACCTTCCTCTTAATGGTTTTAGCAACCACTAACAATGATTGAAAGCAGTAAGAGAGAAAAACACACTATGAGTTGATTTACCATATTCATACTGCTTGCTTGGGAATCCTCTCCAGTTTCAATATGACTGCATTCTTCATTATTTTCTGCTAAATTGCCTTTTTGTTTCCGCATACTGGTACTTTATTTCCTGGTATTGTTTGCTGTATAAGTAGCTGTCTTGAAGGACTAGAAAGCCCTTGCAGCCTATTCTCTCTTCCCTTTCATAACTCTACCTCCTGTTAAAATTTTGAAATTTTTAAGCCCTTCCCTAGTTCTCATATATTCGTGTAACATTTGTTTCTCTTTATAAATGCAGTTTTTAAAACCTCATTTGTAAGACACCAGTTAATAGATAGAACTGAATTACAACTGATTTAATGCAAGGAAACATAGTAATTTCCCTGTGTTTTAAGTGAAATTGTATTAATTAATATTTTCCATTTCTATTAGTCAAATGTATTACAAAAAAATTAATCAAAATGAAACAACCTGCATGATCACACTGAGACAGTGTTTCAGCAAAAAAAAAAAAACAAAATATTTTTAACAAGATAGCAATATTTTTAGCAATATTTAGCAAGATTGCAGCTTTATACACAGTAATCCCATTGCAATGTTTCCAGAACACCATCTTGAAAAAACTGCTCTTTGAGAAATACTTTTTGGTTGGGGCTGTAGTAGGTTAAGCTACCACCTGCTCTGCCGTCATCCCATATGGGTGCCATATGAGCTTCAAAGAGCCTTAGGACCAGAAAGAGATCTATGTCAGGACAGAGCTACCACAGAAAGCCCTGACTAAGGCTTGTTCAGTGGAACTGAGAGTCAGAGCTGCCTTAGAGAGTCACCAGTTAAAGCAATGCCTGGTATAGCTGTGAGAGCAGCGCATCTCCTAAGAGCCTACAACTGAAGAGCCAACTACATGCAGCACCAACCTCGACAAGCCATAGGCATGTAATCCCAATGCATGAGAGCTTTAGTGTGGGCTGGGCCCTTCAGAACTGTGCACACCTGAGGCCTTGAGGGCTCAACCCCTGCCCCACTGTACCCCAGGATATGAAGTTGAAGATTACTCTCAGGGGCCGGCGCTGTAGCACACTAGGTTAATCCTCTGCCTGAAGTGCTGGCATTCCATATGGGCGCCAGTTCTAGTCCCAGTTGCTCCTCTTCCAGTCCAGCTCTCTGCTGTGGCCTGGGAAAGCAGTAGAAGATGGCTCAAGTTGTTGGGCTCCTGTACCAGCATGGGAGACCAGGAAGAAGCACCTGGCCCCTGGCTTTGAATCGGCATAGCTCTGGCCATTTTGGCCATTTGGGGAGTGAACCAACAGAAGGAAGACCTTTTTCTGTCTCTATCACTGTCTGTAACTCTACCTGTCAAATAAGTAAATAAAATCTTAAAAAAAAAGATTACTCTCAAGCCTTTAAACCTTGAGGTATCATGTCTGCCCTGCTGGATTTCACACCTATTTGGAACTTGTTACTCCTCTGTTTTTCTGTTTTCCTATTTCTCACTTCTAGAATGGAAATGACTATGCTATCCGTGTCCCACCATTTTATTTTAGAAGCATATAAACTTGTTTGATGTTTGTTTGAGTCATATAGGGGAAACTTAATCTCCAATAGATCTGTGGGTAGGTGTAGCCTCTAGGATGTGGTTAGTTTTTGAGGGCTCCACCCTCATGAATGGATCAATGCGTCTATGAGGAGGTTTTCAAGAATGAGTTTATTCTCTCTTGCCCTTCCTCCTTCCATCATGTGAAGACACAATAGGGAGACTCAGATCAGGTGCCAGCACATTGATCTGGGACATTGCTGCCCTCAGAACCATAAAAGAATAAATTTACATTCTTCATAAACTACCCAGTCTCAGCTATAGTATATATAAGCACAAACTAGATGAAGCTATTATGAGAATTAAGTGAATCAATAAGTGTTGGGAACTCCTCCAAAATAGCACTAAAAAAAAAAAAAGTGAAGCTAATTGTACAGGTGGAGCTTGCCTTGACAGTCATGACCATGTCTGTAAAAGGCAAAATCAGGAAAAAAATATTTACAGGGCTGGTGTGTCTGGGTCAAAAGGAGTAGAACAGAGTGGAATTTGAGAAAGTTCATGATGTAATATTTTAGGATTAGTATATACAGCAATTCAAGGGTCTCAAAGCAAGTCTTAAGAAAACTGTCACTGGATAAGTAAGCTCTTTGCAAACGTGAGAAAACTGTTTGTCTGAGATAAGTTAGAATACTACAATTTCCTGAAATAAACAATAAAATTATTTATTGGTTTAGAGGCTTATCTTTCCTAGGCAAAGTTTTCCTGTAACAAACAAATAAATCATGTTGACACAGGTGGTTTCAGTTCTTAGACTCAAGAGCTCCATCATGCTGATGTACACGGTTGTAGTTCTTGATGTAAAAAACTTCATGCTTGGCAAATAATGCATAGTATTTATTTTTTAATTTACTTGCAAGACAGATGTAAGAGATAGATAGATAGATAGATAGATAGATAGATAGATAGATAGAGATAATAGATGGAATTCCCACTGAAGACTTCAAATGCCCACAACAGCCAGGGTTGAGCCAGGTCAAAGCCAGGGGCCTGAAACTCCATGTAGGTCTCCTCTATGAGAAGCAGGAACCCAAATACTTGAGTCATCACTTGGTGTCTTCTAGGGCATACATTATCAGGAAGCTGGAATCAGGAGGTGAGCCAGGACTCAAATTCAGGCATCTCTGATATGGGAGGTGAGTTCTACAACTGACATCTTAACTCCTGTACCAAACACCTGTTCCCCACTGCCCCCAGGCATAGTATTTAATAGCTGTATTTGTAAAATGTGCTAGAAGGACAAAGTGGGAAGTTAATCATATTTACAACAGTGATTTTATAGGAAAAATGTGTGCTCTAAATTGTAATCAATTTAAAAAATGGATTTTTAATATTCAAAAATCAGAGAAATTGTCCACTTTTCAGAGTAGATTTGACTCCTGGATTAAACACATTACCTTAAATACATTAGTTTTACAGTAATTTTGCTTGCTAGGATGATGTATTACCTTCAGATTAGTATTAATTTCTAGATTAATTTCTACCTACTATGTTTCCGTCTTTTCTAACTTAGTGATTATTCCTATATCTATTGGTGGAAAGCAATGCAAGGACTAATACAAAAAGTCCTTCCCCATTACGTGCATCTGAAGTTTAATCTTTTATTTGTGGTTCTAATCATCGTATATTATTATTTATTGTTAATATGTATTATTATTACACAGTTTAATATACATCGTTAATCTATAGTCTTATTCATGAAATTCCATCATTTCCTAGAGGGTTATGAACTAAGTTGATTATTCTTTGTTTTGTTTAATTTCTGGCTTCTTGCTATTCTTGTCCATTCTATAAAGTTTCTTTTGTGGAAACAAGAAAACACATTTTGTTTAAATCTCTCCAACTTTAATTAATTACCCTAGAGCCATATAAGAATATTGCTGCCGTCAGTTTTTGGTAGAGACATGCTTTTATAGCAGACACAGTGAACAGGCTTCTAACCTTAAATTCACTACTGGTCATCCTGCCTTAAGAACCATTACTCAGGAGGCCTAGAATGAACAGGGGCACAAACGAGCCTCCTACAATACTTCTGGGTGTAACTTCTAAAAAATGACTCCATCACCAACCTGCCACTCTGGAATCATGGTGGAATGCATCACCCCAACACTATTAGAAATACGACTTTTTTTTAAAGATGTATTTTATTTATTTGAAAGACAGAGTTACAGAGAGAGGTAGAGACAGAGAGAGAGGTCTTCTATCCACTGGTTCACTCCCCAGATGGTTGCAATGGCTGGAGCTGTGCCAATCTAAAGCCAGGAGCCAGGAGCCTCCTACAGGTCTCTCACATGGGTGCAGTGGCCCAACAACTTGGGCCATCTTCTACTGCTATGCCAGGCCATAGCAGAGAGCTGGATCGGAAGAGGAGCAGCCAGGTCTCGAACCGGCACCCATATGGGATGCTGGAGCTTCAGACCAAGACTTTAGCCTGATGTGCTATGGTGCCGGCCCCAGAAATATGATTTTTTTTCTTAGCATTTACCACAGTCTCTGCAACATAAACACTGAGATCACTATTTGCCACATGAATGTATCATCAGCCTTAAATCACTTACCAAAATAGCCTACAGAAAGCGGTACCTTTGCTTCACACATTTGTGTGTATTAACCTATTTAATCCTAACAACAATTCACAAAGCAGGTCTGTCATTATCCCCATTTTGTATATTAGAAAACTAGCAAACATTAACATTAATCTTCTCTGCAAAAATTGTCATTCTAGGCTTCACAGTATTCATACAATTTCACCATCAAGATTTTCTACAAATAAATGTCTGGTACACTATCAAAAATGACCTAACATGCGTACAGGGAGGTTAAAAATTAATAGGAACTACAGAATAGAAATAAACCCATAGATTTCCCATGTATTTCAGTTGTTAGACATAACCCAGAAATGAAGAGAGTGAGAATTTCAGCAGAAAACTAGAAGCTATAAAGAATGCAAATTCTGGCCGGCGCCGCGGCTCACTAGGCTAATCCTCCGCATTGCAGCGCCGGCACACCGGGTTCTAGTCCCGGTCAGGGCGCCAGATTCTGTCCCGGTTGCTCCTCTTCCAGTCCAGCTCTCTGCTGTGGCCTGGGAGTGCAGTGGAGGATGACCCAAGTGCTTGGGCCCTCCACCCGCATGGGAGACCAGGATAAGTACCTGGCTCCTGTCTTCGGATCAGCACGGTGTGCTGGCCGCAGTGCGCCGGCTGTGACGGCCATTGGAGGGTGAACCAACAGCAAAAGGAAGACCTTTCTCTCTATCTCTCTCTCTCACTGTCCACTCTGCCTGTCAAAAAAATAAAAAAATAAAAATAAATAAAAATAAAAAAAAGAATGCAAATTCTGGCCGGTGCCGCTGCTCACTGGGCTAATCCTCTGCCTGTGGCGCTGGCACACCGGGTTCTAGTCCCGGTTGGGGCACCAGATTCTGTCCCAGTTGCCCCTCTTCCAGTCCAGTTCTCTGCTGTGGCCTGGGAAGGCAGTGGGCCCTGCACCTGCATGGGAGACCAGGAAGGGCACCTGGCTCCTGGCTTCAGATCAGCGCGATGCGCCGGCCACAGCGGCCATTGCGGGGTGAACCAATGGAAAAGGAAGACCTTTCTCTCTGTCTCTCTCTCTCTCACTGTCCACTCTGCCTGTCAAAGAAAAAAAAAAAAGGAAATTCTAGAAGTGAAGAATACGTTAAGTAACATCAAGAATGAGTTAAATGGGCTTAATAGAGTTTAGACACAGCTGAAGGGTGAATTAATGAACTTGAAAGAATTTGAAATTAAGAATTCAAATGAAGCCCAGAGATAGAAAAAGATCAGAAAACCAGATAAGGCACATTGAGAACATCTAGCATATATAACCGGAGTTTCAGAAGGAAGGATAAAGTATGGGAAGGAATTACTTTTGAAAAAATAATGACTCAGAATATTTTTAAATGAAAAATAATCAAGTCACAGATTTAAGAAGCAAATTAGAAAATGCATATCTAGGCAAATCAAAATTGCTAAAAAGCAGAAACAACATGAAAGTCTAAAACCTGGCCAGCAATGACAAACCACATCACTACTTAGAAACAGCTATTGGTCTGACACTGAGCTTCTTGGTAGAACCAAAAGCCTCCACAAGACAATTGAGCTATATTGCTGAAGGAAAACATGTAATTCCATTTTGAACAGCCCTTGTCTGGACTGTTGAGAAACAGTTTTGTTTTGTGCATACTATTTGTTAAACTCTTTACTTAGTGTAGGGTTAATCTTATGAGCATAAAGTTAATTGAAAATAGATCTTTGTAAAAATAAAAATGGGAATAGGAGAGAGAGAAGGAAGAAGGGCGGGAGTGTGGGAAAGAGGGAGGGAAGGGAGGAAGAATCCCTATGTTCCCAAATTTATGTATGTGAAATGCATGAACTTTGTATTTCTTAAATAAAAGGTTTCTAGGTAAAAATACTATACACCAAATAATAATAATAATAATAATAATAGTTAAGGTGAAATAAAGATAGCTTCAGATAAATAATAGAATTGCAGTGGCTTTTCTGTACTAAAATAATAATGGGTATTCTTCAAGCAGAAGAGAAACTGTTCAAGATAAAAGATTGTGTAATATAGAACAAAGGAAGGCCAGCAAAACATCTAAATTATGGGTAATTCAGACGACTGTTGACAGCAATAGTAATAATAATAATAATAATAATGGTGCCACAAATTAAATTCCAAAGAATAATTCTCAGAATGGGGTTGGAGATATCTGATTGAGCTCACACATTGGGTAGAAGAGTGACACAAAGGGAATAAAAAGGACAAAAGCAGATTTTATTCTGGGTTTGCGCTGCTCTGCTAAGATGGCAGTGTTAACCCAGATGGTCCCAAGCACCAGAGAGGATTCCAGTGTGCAGGAACCCTTGAGGTATGGGGCTCAAGACAAGTGACCCTGTAGCCCAGATGAGAGTGTGGTATGGGTCCTCATTCTCTCCCCCTCAAAAAAGACAAAAGAGAGATAAAAAAAAAAAAAAAACATAGAACAGGACATTTAGAAAGTAAAAAATGAGATTGGTAGACTTCCGATATATCAGCAATTAAATCAAATTTAAATTAAATCATTCAATTATGACACAAAGATTTTCTATTTGGAAAAATAAAGCCCAAAAATATGCTATTTGGAAGAGATACCAAATGTTAAAATTACTGAGAGGGAAAAAGGCATACTTGTAAAAACTCAACAGAAGGAAGCCATGTCAGTGTCAAAATGGACTTTAAGTAATATTTTAATTAATGTAAGACAAAAAATATTCTTAATGATGAAATATCCCTCATAACTGAAAACTTTTCAATTTTCCAGGAAAACATAATAATTCTGAATTTATATTCAGCTGAAAATATAATCATGAAATATATAAAGTAAAATTAACTACAATGACTACAAACAAAAGTAGATAAATACATAATCATGTGAGATTATATACATACTCCTAGTTATTAGATGGATAAAGCAGATAGATTAGAAAAATGAAGGTATGACATCTGTATGATGTGTTTTGTAATTGGCCCAGTAAACAAATGTAGTACACTTTACCCAGTCACCACTGAACATGTAGCTTATTCAAGCACACATAGAATTTTAAAATATTGACATGCTGGTCTTTAAAGTAAAATTCAATGTATTTCAAGCGTCTGAAATCATATACATTGTTTCTGACTACACTGTATTTAAGCTAAAAAAAGTATTTTAAAGATATATTTTAAAATCGCCATGTGCTTTAAATTTTAGAGCTATACAGCTAAATAGCTTTTGGATCAAATAAATCATAGTGGAAATTAGAAAACATTTTTATGTGAATAATAATGAAAAATTGAATTGTAGTGAAAAAAATTACAAAGTAAAACCTGTGGAACGGGATAAAAATCATACTAAAAGGAAGAACATTAGCTTCAAACATGAGTATATTTCTACTTACTGCTTGTTGAGTTCTTTATTTAGTGGAGGGTTAAACTTGTGATTATAAAATAAACTGAAAGTATGTCATTGTAAAAATTAAAGAAAATTAGAAAAGGTAGAGGACTCAGTTTGGGAGCATGGGCAGGAGGCAGTGGAGGGTGGGAAGTATCACTATGCTCTTAAATCTGTGTATTTGAAATACATGAAATTTGTTCACCTTATATAAAAAATTTTTAAAAGAAGTAAAACCCATTAAAGACTAAAAAAATCAAAAGATTAGTAGTTAGTAAAAGAAAAAAAAACACACAGAGATGACTAAGACATCAAAAACTTAGTTGCTAGATAGCTACTATGCTGGAAACTAAAGGTTGAAAAGAAATATTTTAACATTACTATAGTTCTTAATCTTCCTGAGTTTATAAGTTAGTCATTGAATCACAATATAAATATATGGAAGAGTTAATATTTAAATAATGACTTTGGGGCAGAGGAAAAGAAAATTGCTACACAAATACAGAATCCTAGAATCATTCACTTCGGTCCTATTCTCCTTGTTAATTATAGTTTCCGTTACATTGTTTTAAAATGTGTTCAGTAGAATGGCTTGTTTTCATTGAATAGAACTGTTTAAGAAATAATCTGCTGTATGAAATATGTGCTCTGGTTAACCTGTGACCAAAGGAACTCCTTTCCCCCAAACCTCCCCAGATGGCTTGTACTTGGCCGGCGATGCTACTGTCTGTGTGCATGGGAATTTATTAGTTGATGTATTTATCTCAGTGGATTGCCTCATTAAGTTTGCAGATGTTCTGTCAATGGAAGGATTTTTTTTTAAAACCTTGCTGTTTTTATTAGAATTTTCCAGTGCACAATCCAGCATAAGAGAATTAACACATTTCAACACAGAACAAAGTAGCATGTATTTATACCTCATGGGAGGAAACGCCTTTAACTTGTGCTAAGACAGCTATGATTGAACATGCTGAATTTTAGAAAAATAGACAAAGTTTGCAAATTCCAGCCTAAAATTCTCCACGTACCTCCTGTCAGTCAAGATGGGATTTTTGTGTGCCTTAGCTGATCCTGTTGAATTAAATGCACATACATTCTGAGTTAGCTGCCACTCAGAAAAGAAGCCACAGACTTCTAAGACCTCTGCGGCTCCTAAGAAAAGAACTTGATCTGAATGGTGGTTTTCCATCAAGCAAAGTGAACTCGAATAACAAACATGAAGGGAAAGATAAAACAATTCCCGATACCGATGATAATAACAGACATTTCGGATTTCTGGTAGTTTCAGGATATTTCTAGTTTTAGTAGACAGTGTAACTGTATAAGTAAACTTCTGTGAATAAATGCATGAGGCAAATTTTAAATCACAAACGAAAAGTACCATTTCTGTACGTCCACTTTAACTCAAAAGGGCAGAACTAAAAATAAAATTGAAGACTAAAGAGGGTTCACTTGTAACGTATAAATGTTGGACATTTTTCTATGTAAACAGACAAGGCCTTTAAAGGTTTCACATTTCCATTCACATGACAGCTGCTATTGGGTGTAGGAAGTTCAGAAAGCCAGCCACTCCTTAACAGCAAGTACAGTGTACTGAAGAATGATTTTGAAAGATTTTGAAGTTCAACCTTTAGCATATGAGAATTGAAAGCTGTCACAAGATGAATTATTTCTTAGGTAAGTTTTTCTCTCACTTATAACAATATTTATATTACAATTAGATTTGAAATTGTTTCACAAGCACACTTTATATTTAGTTCTCTATCACAGTTTTTTTAAAAGAAACCTTTTACTGAATGAGTACAAATTTTATTTGTACAACTTTAGGAATATAGAGATTCTTCCCACCATACCCACATTCCCACCCCACCTCCTCCTCCGTCTCTCATTCCCAGTCCCATTCTCCATTAAGATTCATTTTCAATTAACTTTATACACAGAAGACCAACTCTATACAAGTAATCATTTCAACAACTTGCACACATACACACAAAATATAAAAACTGTTTGAGAACAAGTTTTATAGTTAATTCTCACAGTACAACTCATTGAGAACAGAAGTCCTGCATAGGAAGTAAGTACAGAGAAACTCCTGTTGGTAATTTAAGAATTAGCACTCTTATGTATGAAGTCAGTGATCACCAAGGCTCTTGACATGAACTGCCAAGGCTATGGAAGTCTTTTGAGTCCATAGTCTCCATCAGTAATAAGCAAAATGGAAGTTCTCTCCTCCCTTCATAGAAAAGTACATCCTTCTTTGAAGTCCTTTTCTTTCCACTGGGGTCTCACTCACAGAGATCCTTCATGTAGGATTTTTTTTTTCCACAGTGTCATGGCTTTCCATGCCTGAAATGCTCTCATGGGCTTTTCAGCCTGATTATAGCCTTAAGGGCTAATTCTGAGGTCAAAGTGCTATTTAGAGTGCTGTGTGGGCTGCTTCCTATGTTGGAGCATTCTCTCCTTAGTTCTATCTATTGGTATTGCCAGGCACTTGATCTTACTTCTATGTCCCATTTAACACTTAATCCTATCTATATGACCAATTTAACACTTAACATGATCACTTTAACACTTAAGAAGGCGTTATTATCACCCAGCTTAATGGGATTTGGAGTCCCATGGCAAGTTGTTAGCTGTACCCTTAGAAGTATGTCAGTAGGAATGTATACAGAACTATACAGCTCCTCCCTCTATTATTCCCACTCTTGTTTTTTACTGGGATCTATTTTCACTTGACATTATACACATATGATTAATTATATATTAAGTAAAGAGCTCAACCAATGGTATTAAGAAGGAGGAGAAAAAAAACTCCTCGACAGTCAAGACAAGGGCTTTTCAAGTAATTGCGTCTTAAAGTGTCCATTTCTCTTCTACAGGTTTCCTTTTAGGTGCTCTGTTAGTTATCACAGAGCATGGAAAACATATGGTATTTGTTCATTTGGGACTGGTTTATTTCACTAAGTATGATGTTTTCAAGATTCATCTGCTTTGTTGCAAATGACGGGATTTCATTTTTTTTACTGCTGTGTAGTATTCCATAGAGTACATATTCCATAATTTCTTTATCCAGACTTCAGTTGATAGGCATTTAGTTTGATTCCATGTCTTAGCTATTGGGAATTGAACTGCAATAAACATGGGGGTGCAGATAACTCTGTTATTTGCTAATTTCATTTCCATTGGTTAAATTCCCAGTAGTGGGAAGGCTGGGTCACATGGTAGGATTATATTCAGATTTATGAGGTATCTCTAACCCGTCTTCCATAGTAGTTTTACCAGTTTACATTCCCACCAACAATGGACTAGGGTACCTTTTTCCTCACATCCTTACAAGTATTTGTTGTTTGTTGATTTCTGCATAAAAGTCAATATAACTAGGGTGAGGTGAAATGTCATTGTGGTTTTGATTTGCATTTCCCTGACAGCTAGTGATCCTGAAAATTTGTTCATGTGTCTGTTGGCCATTTGGATTTCCCTTTTTGCAAAATGTCTGTTTAAGTCCTCTGCCTGTTTCCTAACTGGGTAATTTGTTTTGTTGTTAAGTTTCTTTGTATATTCTGGTTATTAATCCTTTATCAGTTGCACAGTTTGCAAATAATTTCTCCCATTCTGTCTGTTATCTCATCCATTTCCTGAGTGTTTCTTTTGCAGTACAGAAGCTTCTCAATTTGATATAATCCCATTCGTTAATTTTGGCTTTTATTGCCTGTGTCTCTTCTTTTCCAGGAAGTCTTTGCCTGTGCCAATGTCTATCAGGGTTTCTTCAGTGCTCTCAAGTAATTTGATAGTATAGGGTTGTAGATTTAGGTCTTTAATCCATTTTGAGTGGATCTTTGTATAAGGTGTAAGGTAGAGGTGCTGCTTCATACTTCTGCATGTGGAAATCATTTTTCCCAGCACCATTTGTCAAAGAGACTGTCCTTGCTTCAGGGATTTGTTTTAGCTCTTTGGTCGAATATAAGTTGGTTGTAGTTGCTTGGATTGATTTCTGGCATTTCTATTCTGTTCCATTGGTCTATCCATCTGTTTTTGTACCAGTACCAGGCTGTTTTCATTATAACTGCCTTGTAGTATATCTTGAAATCTGGTATTGCAATGCCTCTGGCTTTGTTTTTGTTGTGTAAGATTGCTTTAGCTATTTGAGGTCTCCTGTGGTTCCATAAGAATTTCAGTATCATTTTTTCTAGACCTGAGAAGAATGTCTTTGGTATTTTGATTGGTATCACATTGAATCTTTAAATTGCTTTTGGAAAAATGGGCATTTTGATGATATTGATTCTTCCAGTCCATATAACATGGACGATTTTTCCATTTTTCTTTTTTTTATTATCTTTAAAAAAATTTTTTTTTGACAGGCAGAGTGGACAGTGAGAGAGAGAGGCAGAGAGAAAGGTCTGCCTTTTCCGTTGGTTCACCCCACAATGGCTGCTATAGCCGGCGCGCTGCACCAATCCGAAGCCAGGAGCCAGGTGTTTCCTCCTGGTCTCCCATGCGGGTGCAGGGCCCAAGGACCTGGGCCATCCTCCACTGCACTCCCGGGCCACAGCAGAGAGCTGGACTGCAAGAGGAGCAACCGGGACAGAATCCGGTGCCCTGACCAGGACTAGAACCCGGGGTGCCGGTGCCGCAGGTGGAGGATTAGCCTAGTGAGCCACGGTGCTGGTGATTTTTCCATTTTTCAAAAATATTTAGTTCTCAAAAATATATTTAGTTCTCTAACACAGTTTTCATAATCACTCTTGTTAATGTGATTATTGTTACTGTTTTTATTCTAATATGTTGGATGTAAATGCTTGGAGAAGAAAGGCTTTCATTAAAAAATTTACCATTAATAACATACCTCCTACCTTTAAGACAATGAAGCAAGGGAAAAAAAAGAAACAACCAAAATCTCCATAACTAAAACTAATTCTCATAGAGCTTAGTTAACTAAATAAATGATGTGGACCCTTGAAGGTCACAGTAGCCTAGTGGAGTTACATTATAAAAACAAAAACATGTAGTGATACTTTCCGTCCTGTTCCTGAGTCTGTATATGGGAAATACATGAAATTTATATACCTTGAATAAAATTTAAGACAATAAAAATTATAATATGTCTATATATTGGCATACTATGCATCCATGAATAAGCATGATGTTAAAAAAGATTGAGGAGGCCGGCGCCGTGGCTCACTAGGCTAATCCTCCGCCTAGCGGTGCCGGCACACCGGGTTCTAGTCCCGGTTGGGGCGCCGGATTCTGTCCTGGTTGCCCCTCTTCCAGGCCAGCTCTCTGCTATGGCCAGGGAGTGCAGTGGAGGATGGCCCAAGTGCTTGGGCCCTGCACCCCATGGGAGACCAGGAAAAGCACCTGGCTCCTGGCTCCTGCCATCGGATCAGCGCGGTGCGCCGGCCACAGCGCGCCAGCCGCGGCGGCCATTGGAGGGTGAACCAACGGCAAAGGAAGACCTTTCTCTCTGTATCTCTCTCTCACTGTCCACTCTGCCTGTTTAAAAAAAAAAAAAAAGATTGAGGAAGCTTTAGTACATACACTGATACATAAAGATATGTGGGATGTATTGCTTATTTTTGATTTGGGCATTTTTAATAAAAACTGTATGATTTAATGTATACAACATGATGTTTTGAAATACATATACTTATTACTGTAATCAAACTAATGAACATATGTACCACGAAATTTCTCTGTGTGTATATGGTGAGAATACAGATTTTCTCTCACCGAATTTCCAGTATACAATTAAAGATAATTAACTATAGTCAGTATTATCCATTGCAGTGTTAAAACAGTCAAGACACGGAAAAAAAAAAAAAAAAACACAGTATCTTTCAACAAATGAATAGTTAAATTGAGTGTGTGTGTGTGTGATGGAATATTACCTAGCCTTTGTTTTTTAAAGATTTATTTATTTATTTGAAAGGCAGAGTTACAAAGAGGCAGAGGCAGAGAGAGAGGTCTTCCATCCGCTGTTCACTCCCCAAATGGCAGCAATGGCAAGAGCCGGGAGCTTCTTCAGGTCCCTGATGCAGGTGCAACAGTCCAAGGACTTGGGCCATCTTCTACTGCTTTCCTAGTCGATAGCAGAGAGCTAGATCAGAAGTTTGAGCTGGGACTCAAACTGGCATCCATATGGGATGCTGGTACCTCAGGTGGCAGCTTCACCCACTGAAAGAACTCTGTCTGTATACAAGTGCTAGACAACTTCGATGTCAAAAAAGCAGGTTTTGTCATGAAGTTTTCATACTCAGTGGTACTTGGGAACTGACTTCCTCCTAGCTGTGAGATGTAGCCTCTGGTCATTTGCACTGCCAGTAGCTGATCCTTTCATCAGGTGCCCTTAGTCTCATGGGTTTTTCTCTGTATTTGTTTAGGAGCACCAGGTAGAAAACCATTCTCTTCTTTACTCCCCGAGGAAAGGAATGGCAAAGACTGGCATGGTTCATTGGTTCAACTTCATTTTCTTTTAGTATCTGTTGAGAATCCTGGTTCCAATGAGGAAATTTGGGTACAGATTGTGGAATTACTGTAATAAATGGTTTCCTAATTTTAGGACAGCAATCTGACTCCTCTGCTGAGTTTCTTGTTGTTGAAGGTTAGTATTTTTCTTTTTCAATATTTCCAAGCTGTCTAAAGCTGTACTATGTTCAGACAGTGACCTTAAAAGTGAAATGATATTTACTAATCCAGAAAGTTCTGAGGAATTTCTAGGATTATTCCAGTATTGTTTGCTCTGTCTAGCAGTTTTGACTTCTATCTGATCATTCGGTAAATGTCTAAATGTCTAAATCTTCAGATTCAGGAATATATAGTTTGGTGCCTGAGGAAATAGGAAGTCTTTTATCTAGAGGGTAAACAAAGAATTGGAATCTGGAGTATTTGTTTTATCAAGCTCTGTACTTCCAGAGTGATTCTGATTTAATAGTTGGATATTGTTGTCATTGCTAGAGGTTGATGGTAAAATCTGATCACTTTTGTCTAATTCACTTCCTAAAATAGAAGGTTGAGGTTGAACATCTTCTGAAAATAGACTTGTTTTCAGGCATCTGATTGTGATTATGTTTGTATCTTTAGATTTATTTGGGAGTGAAGGAAAATCATAGCTAATTCTGACTTTTTAGAGATATTTATTAGCATCTTCTTTATTATCTACAGAAACATTATTAGTCTACTCTAAAGGTGAATCAAAATTGCTTAATATGTCATGATACTCTTCCTCTATTTTTTCCCAAGGTTTTTAGCTTTGCAAGGTCCTGTGTCAAAAACCCACACAAGTTTTATCACAAAACTGTGATGGCAGAATCTATTTAATAGGACATGTTTCTGATGGTTTGCCACCAATGTTCACTACCTGTACCTTGATGGCTTATATCCTTACATTTCTTCTGAACACACAAATTGCCATCATTAACCAATATTTCTTTTATTCCATTTTCTGAATTCTGGGAAATTTTGTTGCTTCCCTGTGATTCATCCTCAGTGTCACTGATCTCAAAATGGTTCAGATTAAAACTTATCTTCAAAAATGGTTGTGTTACATTATTTATAGATTCATGCACACCATTAAGAGCTTCACTATCAGTATGACTTTTAGAAAACATGTCTGTAATGTCATCAGAGATCCTAGAATTGCTACTCAGAGACGAGTCAATTTGTGGACGTTCTGATTCAGACAGACACGAAACTGATTGTTTTTACTCTTTTTCTGGTGTTCCACAGGCATTAACCACCCGAGCATTTCCCTTAATGCAAATAGATTCTTTTATGTATACCTCGTTATTCTGATTAAAAGGCATTTTATTATTTTCTGGAATGTCAGATTCAGATAAATCGCCATTTTCTGCTCTACTGCAGGTTAACCAGGAAGCTGGCGCCTTCACAGAATGAAGGAATTTCCAACTTTATTTCCTGATTCCAGGATTGATCATTACTTCCTACTGGCTTATCTTCATCATGCTTTTTACTCTTTTCAGTATACGTCCCAACGAATTTTACTTCTTTTTGTACCAAAGGGTTTTTCACATCCAAATTTATATCATCTTCCTGGGCCTTGAGTTTTCTTTCTACATAGTTTCCATCCATCATAGAATAGTGTACAGGTGAGTTTTGTACAGATAAATACAGTAGCCCATCGACTTTCATTTCCCATAGCATTTTCTAATTGGTGCTGAGAGTCTTCACCTCAGCACACTCTTCCTGCAGAATTAAGCACTTCGGTTTGGTAGGAACGTTTAAACATCCTCGTGGCTGTACCTGAGGAAAATGTCCTGTAGCCTCAGAATTGAGTTCTTTATACCTACTAGTAGACTTGGACTTCAGAAGAGCTAGTATCTGTGCTTTGCTTCTGATGGTTTGGGAAACTCCTGAACAGTGAGAGGTCAAAATATCTCTTTTCATGGGCTCACAGGTGAGTGAAGAACCTGAATGCTTACTTTCAGAGCGAGAATAAACTTTTTCACTTGGCATTTCTGTGTTCATCTTAGAGAATGGAGCAGTCAGCTGAAGAAATGCCATTTCTCTGTTCTCACAAGGGGCAGTGTTCTCAAGGTTTGTTGGCATAGTGTTTATATCTTTTTTTTTTTTTAAGATTTAGTTATTTGAAAAAGTTACACAGAGAGATTATTTAACTTTTTATTATTAAGTTGTAAGTTTTCTTTATAGATTCTAGATACAAGTTTCTTATTATTACATTAGCTACAAATATTTTCTCCCACTCTGGGGGTTATCTTTGTTTTTTTTTTTAATGATGGATTTGGGGCATGGAAATTTTTAATTTTCAAATCCAACTTATCTATTTGTGTTGTTATTCTTGTCTGTGCTTTTGGTGCCATGACTAAGAAGGCTTTTCTAACTCAAAGTCATAAAAACTTTGGCTTATGTGTTCTTCTAAAGGTTTTATAGTGTTGTCACTTACATTTAGGTATATGATCAGTTTTGAATTAATGTTTTTATATGGTGTAAATAAAGTATTTCAGCCTCATTTTCTTGCATGAGGATACCTGGGAGCTGAGAGTCATTTGTCAGAAAGGTTATTCTTTCTGTTATGAACTGTTTGGCACTTTTATTGAAATTAAATTGACTATAAATTTGAAGGCTGCTCTTGTAGCAAAACAGTGTACTATTGTCATAATAGATCAATGAAACAGAATCGAGAGCCCACACATATTTACTTTTAATTTTCTTATAATTATATGATAAATTAGAGGTAGAACTTAGCAATTTAAAGAAAAAGTTCAGCTTGAAGCCACTTTTGAGAGAATTAAACAATTATAACTTAGGAAGGTTGATGGAAGCTGAGAAGATTTCTGTCCAAGATACAAATTTTAATTTATAAATAATTTTAAGATAAGTACTACTGAGCACCAAAGGGGAA